CGTGTAGAGTCGGCTCTGCAATAGAAGCCGTCACTGCTGCCAGTTATTCAACCCTGCCGGATATTCGCCATTGCCAAGGAACTTAACCATCTCGGCATACCAGTCTGGCACCGTTTCAAATTGAAGATAGGTGCGTCTGGCAAATCATCCTCTACGCCTACTTCCTCATCACTGTCCTGTGGTGGCAGCCTCGATAAGTGATCCGGCATCTAATGGCTGCTTCCAGGTTTCAACACAATCTGGAACTGAAATTCCTAGAGCAGCAACAGCCAATGTGTGATTCTTCCCGTCTTGCATGGCTTCCCTATTAAATACTTCAATGCCTAATGATTGAGGAAAAACACGAACTCCTTGCCAAGTAGATAATGCCGATATTGCTGGATCGCATAGATCATGCCAAGTCCTTCCCTCTCAGTTTCTGAATAGCTCTTCTCAGCTGTCAAAAGTTGACGGCTGCTGTAACATATTTGATGATCTGCTCGTCCATTTGATCGTTGACACATCACCACACCAATGGCCATTGCTGATGCATCCACATGAACGTAAAACTCTAGATTCCAATCCGGCATCTTCAGAATTGGCGCGTTCGCTAGTGCCAGTTTCAAGCGTTGGAAGGCCGCCTCACATGCAGCTGTCCACTCATATTTAGCCCCCTTCTTCAGCAGGCTAGTCAAGGGTAGAGCTTTCTCGGCAAATTTCCTCACAAAATGGCGGTGATATCCCACATGCCCAAGAAATGCCTGCAGTTGCTTCACAGTCTCTAGTGACACCAGTTGCATGATCACCTGCATCTTGGCTGGATCGACAGCTAAACCTTCTCTTGACACTATCTGACTGTAAGCGACTAAATTTTCCATTCTACTTTAGTCACTTAACCACACCTCTGACCACTTGGAGGAGTCTCATTCACAACCTCCATAAGTTCAATCCAGGACTTGGGACTTGCTAGCCCCGAGAATGGCATCCATGCCACTCAACATTTGCACTTGGTCCAAGTGCTCCACGTGTCCGATCCCATGACCGATGCTCAAAGGTACCACCGACATAGCAGCCCATTACGCTAAGGCCATGCCCAATCACCTTTGCCACACTGGTAGTCCAATACCACTTGCATCACCATCTTGGCTCTCCAAGACTAGGCAAACCATCCGGGAGTGGTCATCTCAGATCCACTCCTTAGCATCCTTAGGATGCCCACCGACAAGGGGAATAGCCTTCCCCAATATCCCTCTGTCAGTCCCCACTAAGTCCCTTTCTGCCCCTGGCCGTGTTTGCCAACACTGCCACTGGATCGAGACCCACAGGCCCGACCACTAAGTCCCACGGTCCTCTGGGACTTCCTCACCACACGACTGTGTCCTTGGTCACTACCCCAGAGGACTGCTCCTCTTCCTTTCCACAGTCTGGGCCTTTGGGACAACATTTCGGAGCACCGTGGCCTTACGCAAGCCACCTAGGTACTCTCCTCGCCTTCTGCCCTTGGGTGCTCTAGCCATGGGCTTAGAGCGGGTTCCGTTGAGCCACACCAGGTATCCAAGTAGGTAGTGCCACCCACACTTGGATTGGGAGCATTGGCCAGTCGATCTCCCGGGGGAACTAGAGCCGGCTCTTGAACACTTCACCAAGCTACCCCGCTTGTCGGTCTGTGTTCACTCTAGTCTTGGACTTCCCAGTGGGCAGCTCATCACCCAACACTGGGTCCGGCCTTCCTGGGCCAAACTGGCCTTTCTTGGCCAAACTGGCTCCACTGCAGTCCTCCCCCTCACTATACTTTTGGAGCTCACCAAACCCCCCAGGGTCTGGGAGACGAACGCTTTGGGCTTTCACCCTCTCAGGCTCCGGACTCGGACTCGGACTCGGACTCGGACTCGGACTCGGACTCGGACTCAGACTCGGACTCGGACTCGGGCTCGGTCTCGGCCTCGGCCTCGGTCTCGGTCTCGGTCCCGATCTCGGTCTCGGTCTCGGTCTCGATCTCGGTCTCGGTCTCGACTTCGGACTCCATCTCGGTCTCCATCTCGGACTCCATCTCGGACTCCATCTCGGGTCCATCTCGGGTCCATCTCGGACTCCATCTCGGACTCCATCTCGGATCCATCTCGGACTCCATCTCGGACTCCATTTCGGGTCCATCTCGGGTCCACCTCGGACTCCATCTCGGACTCCATCTCGGACTCCAACTCGGGTCCATCTCGGGTCCACCTCGGACTCCACTTCGGACTCCATCTCGGACTCCATCTCGGGTCCATCTCGGACTCCACTTCGGACTCCAACTCGGGTCCATCTCGGACTCCACTTCGGACTCCAACTCGGGTCCATCTCGGACTCCACTTCGGACTCCAACTCGAGTCCATCTCGGACACTCCCATGTGTCATGTGTTGGTCCTTTTGGGTCCCTTTTTGGAGCCTCGCCTTGTGCTCGCTTCGTGCTCGTTCCTCGAGCACTTCGTTGGGAGTTCCACTCCCGCTCTTGACTTTTCAAGTCGGAGCTTTTGGTCCAAACGTGTTACACTCGTTTGGCTCTCACTTCGGCCACTACCATGTGGCGCCCTTCCGGCTCCACTTTGGGGCCTAGGGATTTTGTGTCTCACAACTCCACCACCCATAGACGAAGTTCAATGTCCTCATCGAACGGTGAACCATTTTATAAAGTAACACCCGCATGTGTTACCATTTCCATCCTTGGCGCGTAGCCAATATTTGTCAATGGTGTGACATTGAAGGCTCACCATGCCTTCTCCATATTCGTCAATGGTTGGACATTGAAGGCTCACCATGCCTTTTGCATATCCTCTAAGGAGGGTAGTCTCTCCAACTTAGAGACTGATTGGACCACATGTAGTGGTTCTCTCCTTTTATTGGTTTAGTTCTCGCTAAACCTCTTAGAGACCCTTCTCTAAGTCAATCCCACTACTCCTTCTCAAGTAGTCTCAATTTCCATCTATTGAATGTTTGCACCTTGGAACTTTTACTCTTTTAACTTTTGGAAGTCAATTTCCTAGGTGTCTCCAACACCTTGCATTGCACAGATTGTGCAACTCCACTTCCCATCCTAGGAAGTCTCTACTCGAGGGCACCATCATTCTCTCTTCTATTTCGTGCCACCTTGGGCACTAAGTTCCATTTATCACACTTTGTGCTAAGGTTGTCCATCGCCCTATCATTTGGCTACCTTACCGCTCCTTCCCTTGGAGCTTCCACTTTCGCCAAATCGGAGCAATTCGGAATCCATCCTTGGAAACACACTTCCTTTCCCGCAATTTGTTAGCGTCCAACACATTAGTGTTCCTCGCCTAACTTTGTCACTTGGATTCCTTCCAAGGAATTCCACGGCCCTATCTTGGCCACTCATCTTTTGCTCCTATCCATTGATTATTGCACCAAGCAACATCGAATCTCTACCTCTCTCCTTGAGGTGTTCTTTTGATTCCATAGCAAAGGCTCTGCTTTACCAAGACTAGGGTGTTCACCCCTAGTAAGTCTCTTTTAGCATCTTCTGCTGTGGGCTTTATCCTTGGCCCAACTTTGTGACCCTCTCATGGGTCTCTTTAAAGACTACTTTCCTTGGACACACTATGCCATCGCAATGACATAGCTCACTTCCCTAAGGTGCTTTTCCCACTTGGTCACCTTGACCAAGCCACACCATCATCAATAGTTCAAATCAACACTTTGAACTAGGAACCTTATTCCTTAACCCAAACAAGGACCTTGTCCTTATTTAGCCACAAGATCACCTAGTGATCTCACCTCGGCACTTTAACAGGTTTGCCAATAGGTACTAGGTCTTCCAGACCTTTAACTTGTTAACTACGACCCCAGGGGCATCCCCCACACTTGGCAGTGCGCCCAAGAAAGCCCTTCCGGCCAAGGGTCCATAACAACTGAGATTAGGTGTCCCCATCTCACTCACCACGTCCTTGGTGCCACTTGCACCAAAGCGTTCAAGTTAGATATGCCGAGCTTTCACACTAAGCAATCTAACCGTGCATCACGACTCCGAGGCATCCCTCGCTTGGCGGTGTGCCCAAACCAGTCTCCCCACTGAGAGTTCATGACCACCGAAATATGAGTGTCCTCATATTCCAAACCATCACCACGCCCTAGTGATTTGGGACTCGAACCCAAGCACTAGAGGGTCGGGACTCGAACCCAACCTCCGTATATGCATCTACGGACGGCATCACACAAGATGCCTGACGTGACTCCCCACGCCGGTGCACCAACTTATTTTTAAAGCGCGCTACAGATCACAGCTTAGGAACCTAGTTCCTCCACACTGCCAAGTCCTCTCACTTGACATGTCTGTGATCATGCATGGACTCCTCCATGCTCGACCCCATGGCCCACCCTTTTTGAAGTTATCACCTTCAACTAGGGTATTTGTTCCTCCGACGTGCCAATCTCGCTTGGCAAGTCCTCCAACCACTATAACATGGTTCCTGCATAAGCGTGAAAGTCCTTGACCATCGACTTTCGTTCAAAGTCCTCTTTTTGAACACTCGGGAACTACTTCCCTAACATTGATATCCTTGCCTCATGGCAAGCTTCAAGACCACGCTTCTGCTGCGCCACTCTGATTTCGCGCGTTCCATGAACCATTTACACTTGGCTTTTTTAGGTACTAAGCTACCTAGAATCGTCTTTGGGAACCTTGAAGGAACTCTGTCCCTCAGCTTGCTAAGGCCTCCCTTTTTGCAAGCCTTCCAAATGCCACATAGTCTAACATGGACAATTCCATATTTTAGACTCTCCATGGCATCACGGTTGCTAGCGGCAACACCCTCGAGCCCCCACTTGATTCTCCACTCCCAGCTGGCATAACCAACCTTGGTTATGCCCTTTGATTCCTACGGTTCGGTTCTATCCCCTTACTTCTTGCTTTTTGGCTTCACACCTTTCCTTTGGTCATTCTCTTCCAGACCAGGAGGATATCTTTGCACTTTCTATCATGCTTTAGCAAGTATTCTTAGGGATGAACCTACCCAATAGCCTAGGGA